CTATATCCAGCTAATCATCCAAAACATATAGATTATCAGCTGGAAAAAGACACAGCAAAGGGAGTAAAATCCCAGAAGGGGAACCTGTGTAAACTTGCAATTGGGAGCTAAATCCCAGGGAGGAAACCCAGCAGCCATGTTGAGTTCTTACAGCCTTCCTCAAACAGAGTCCATGTTTAAACTAAATCCAAGGTTAGAAACAGAAAGAAAAGCAATACCAAAGAGCTACTGTCTAGGTCTAGCTAGTGGAAAAGACTGCTTATAAATGCAAAGAAAAGGCTAGCTTCACTTTGGGCCAGTGTAGGCTCAAATTTTTAGGACTTATAGAGATTCTCCCAAACTGTAGTTCAGAAAAAGAGCCATCCCAAGCCTGAGAGTCCAGGTTATTTATTTTAACATATGCACACACACAGGATCACCACATGCCTTCACAAATCACCTGGCCATTGTCTGTTGTCCCCTCCAGTGACCCACTTTGCTCTCCACTGAATGCAGTATCTTCACTTCCAGGGAGAACAAAACACACACATTACAGTTCGCTAGAAGCTAGGGAAGATCAGGCGTTCAGCCACAGCCCTCTTTGCCTTTCAGACAAGAGCCTCTGTTCAGACTGGTCGCAGCAACAGTGGGGCTCATCTGCTTAGAACTATATAAGGAGACGGGCTTGCAAGGGGCCTCGTTCTCTCCGTGTTAGGAGTCCCATTGACAAAGTAGCTGGACACAAGCAAGTTAAGCAGCTGTGTGAGTTTGGCAACAGGGCAAGGAGGCCAGGGCAGAGAACTCTGTCCTTGCTTCTGGTAGTAAGCAACTCTAAACTGTAAATAAGTAACAAAAGGTAAATGCTGCGATAAAGGCAAACTCTGTGCTAGGAATAACCAGGAAAGGAATAGAAATAAAATGTCAGTATCATACAACCCTTATAATTTGTGGTGCAAACACACTTAGAACTAATTGTGTAAAGTTGTCTCCACCTAAAAAAGGTCATGGTAGTGTTGGGAAGGGGGAAACTAATTTGATCAGGGTCAGCTCCCCTGTGACAATGACTCAGCCATCCTGAGATAGTTATATAATAGGACGGCATATAAAAGCTTTTAATAACAAATAAATAAATGACTATAATGTCTAGGCCTGTTTAGCCAAAGCAAAGGTGAGTAAGGGGAGCCATAACTGAAGCTCTGCAAAATAATGCGTGGTGTGTGGGATTCATTTTTCATAGCAATCAAGCTTACTTCTGTACAGTGGAAACCACATGTGATAATTGTATGCCTGGGGAGCCCACCCTCTGCACGAACCTCATATGTGTCTGAAACAGTTTATAAACTCTTTGCACATTTAAAGTTTAAATCTGCTTTCTTGGTGATAATTTCCTGATGTGAAAGAAAACATATACTGGCTGTTGTATATATTCAATTCCTCTTTTAAATTCTCTAGAAGTGTTTATACATCATCCAAAAAGGGTGAGATACTCTCATATATAAAAAAAATTCTTAATGCAACTTTGCTGTTTTGATTAACATGAGCAGTGACTTCCTGCTCTACTTTATTCAAGGTGGGTTAGATTTGGTTTTGTAATTAGTACATCCCCACAAAACACCTACTGCTCTTCTTTAATCATCCTACAAACAAGAATAGTTGGTAATAGACTAGAACTGAATGATTTCAAGAAATCTGAGCAAAATGATGATGGAAAACCCAGATTCACACAGAACACACTTAACCTCAAAAGGTGCATCCAAGATCTTAGTTTTCTGAAGCCAAAGTTAAGAACTTCCCTATTGCATCAGAGCAGGTAAGTCAGTGGAATATCTGAGGGATTATGACACATCCAGGACATATTCTTGCTGGAGTGGACCAAGAGAGAAGGAGAGAGGTCAGAGTTAAAAGTTGGAAAAATGCTGGGGAGGGTCATTGACACTTAGGATCTATTTTACTAAAGATACTGCAGCTGGTATTTTATTTAACATTATCTATTTTCCAATTGTGTTTCACAACTATTAGTTTATACCAAACACATACATTGTAATTTGACTGATGAATGGCAGCTTTTTGGAGTTGCCACTCAATTTTAAAGCATCTGTAGGATGTATCATGTTTTGAAATTCTGCTAGATAAGGATTTCAAATTCCTTTTATTTCATTGGAAGGATTTCAGCATGAACTTTTCCATCTCCCACTTGGAAATGATAAATTGTAAAACAGACATGGGCAGCATGTGACCCTCCAGGAGCTATTAGTCTCCAGTTCACATCTTCCTTGACTTCTCTAGTTGGAACTAAGGGGAACTGGATGGCCACAGGTTCCTCACCCTTTAAAATGTTTCATTTTTGCTGCCTTATGCCTATGATGTTCTGTGGAATCTAAAAGCCAAAAATGTTATTTTAGCATAGTTAATATTTAGAAAACTCTCTAATGACATGATTTTGCCAGATCCATCTTGCAGCAGATGACTCACACTGCTTGCCTTCCACACCACTGTAAGTAGCTCATAATGTATTGCAAGCAAAATTTACTTTGTCTGTGTGAGAAAAAAGGCCAATAAGCATTGCATTCAGTGGTATTTGACACATGCCCCTTCTGGGGCTTGGGTGCATCTTAATTTACGCGTAAGTTTCTGTGTTGATTAAGCCGCAAGTGCGTAACACTTCCTTTATGTTCTCCTGCCATGGCTGATGAAATAGTCTACGCTGATCTGAACCTCCCTGAGACTCAGCTGGCAAAATCCAGAAGTAAGTGTGGTTTTCTTTAATATTTTGAAATAAATAAATGAAATTATCTCATGCTCTCTTGTATGGTTTAAAGGCCAGATTAATGTAACTCAGCTGAGGAAGAAATACAGGGATGCAGCCTGAGTTTGTCATGGTGCTCTTAGTGAAGGAACTTCCATTGCTTAGAGATTGTAAAGGTACTTTTGAAGAAATTGCAAAGATTTTTTTAAAAAATCTTCTTAATTCCATCCACACCATCTCTAGAATCTAGATATGAGAAATGATATCTAAAAGATCAAACAAATAAGCATGAACAACTCCAAAAGAAGGTAAATATTGGAGACACCCTGTAAAGGTTTACTTTAAAGACAGCTTTAGATCTTTACTGCATACAGGATGAGACTGTGTTTGGGAGAACATGAGGAGTAAACTCTATTCCACTGGAAACTGGTTGAATAAGATATTTTATTTATGGAACAAGAATATTCCCGAATAAAAGCATTTCCTAACATTACATTCTGGAAAGTGTGAGATAGTTTTGAGATGTATGAAAGTATTTTACGGTTTGCTTAGAGAGCACCACAGCGGCCTCTATTTAATTTAAAGATTTATACCTAGCTTTCTAAGATAGTTTCCAACAGGTTTGAACCATAACCACCTCCCTCCCAAGAAGTACTAACAGCCCTTGTTTTAGTTTGGGGAAAGTGTTCCCCAACGCTTTAGCTAGCAATTGATGTGGCCGCAAGCAAATGTACCAGAAAAGAATAAACCAAGTCCAGTGCAAATGTAATAAAGATCAGGAAAAAAAATAGGAAAGGCAGTGAAAGATCCCTAATGCCAGGTGGTCTCAGAACTGGCTGACTGGCATTGCTAGCAGATATGGTCAGAGGCAACCCACCGATGTAGGAGAGGGCCCCACAGAGAGTGCTTTTCTGAGGGCTCCTCAGGTCTGGAGCCAGCCCTGTGAAGACACACAATGTCTTAAGCTTGCTGAAGCCAAGCAGATCAGAAGTCTGGACAGTGCCTAGATAGTATATCTCGTACATTCCGCTTTGTTTCAGGGGAGAAAAGCAGTGAATAAGATTTAAATAGAAAACACTCAGGGATTTAGCTTATATGCTTAATTAGTTGCAGGGCTGGGATTCTTTGCTTTAGGCTACCAAGTAGCTTCGGCTGCAATTGAAAATCTAATTTTAATTATCTGACAACATATGTAAAAACATGTGCACCTAAGGGTGTGAACAGACTAGAATTAGATCTTATCCCCTCTCTAACCCCAGATCACATTCAGTTTTTTCTTGCCTTTATGATGTAAATGGCAGACATACACACCACTGAATCCACTAGTTGAAGTATCTTTTTTTTCCTCCAACCATGTTCTAGCAGTCTGCCTTTTAAAAAAAATGCTAATGCATGTTTATTGAAATAATCATCTGTCCCATTAGTACCCTTTTGGAAAGAATTACGATTCAACTTTGGGAACATTGTGTGGGTAGGTTCACATTTAACAGCAGCCCATTGTGGTTATTTACCATGATGGGTTGGTTGAACCTACATGCAAGGACTGTTCCCTCCTCCTCTTGCAGGGGCAACAAGTTCCCTCACCCTGCAATTATGTGCTGATTGCAGCTTGCCATGGCTGTCCCTTTATTTGTTTTGCCCCCAAGATCACAAAAGCCGGTAGGAACTGATTCTTATAACCCCTTAAGAGGCAGGAATAAGCTGCTGTCCAGTGGCATCTTGGAGGGACTTCCCATGCCTGCTCATTTCTCTTTTTATTTTTGTTCCTGTGAAGGCATACTTTTTTATTTTCTCTTATCTGTCCTCATTATTCATACAGGACTTGTTCCCTGAAGTGCAATGAGGAGCAATTTCCAGCTGTGGCTGGGACAATGCACAAGTTTGACCTCAGGGAAAAAACCCTAGCAGATCAGCACGCTCCCAGCAGCTCCTCTTGCAAATATTACAGTTGTGCTCACTTAAGAGCTCATCAGGGTTTGCTCCAAATTATTCTGATGCACCTCAATTACGTCAGATGAATCCAGACATGGATGCTTTTCAAAACAGAGCAAGGATTAATTTTCTATAGCACCTGCTTGTTTAAACAGATTGTTGTTTAATTTATAGCCCATTGCAACTACATTATCAAATGAGACAATAATGGCAAATTATTTGATGTGAACCCTCCTTTTACGTTATATGGGTTTGACCAGGTTTCCACAGATGCCCAAGATGGCACCAGATTGCTCTGAGAGTTGGAGGTGTAGGACAGCTTGTCCTGCTGCTGGCTGTTGTGGTGCTTAGTGTTTTGGGTAAGTTAACACAGCTACATGTGGCTTCAAATATACATTTAACTACATGCTTGGGCTACCAAAATGCATGCTATATGATTCTTAAATGTGGAGAGATGAGCTTGCCCTTGATAAATAAAAAAACAGCCAGTATATTCCTAAGTGTCTTCGTCTTTTGACAACACCCCAGGAAACATTTTTATTAGGCAATATGACCCCAAATATATTTAAGATTGAGGCTTGCGTTCAATCTAGGGTACTACCTGATAAGAGACCTAGCAAAGCATAAGGTATCCCCAGTTTGAATCTTGTCTCTTCCCTGTTAGTAGCTTTCAACAAGCTACTTTTTCTTAGCCTTGGCCCTCAAATCTGAAATATGGGACTGTGAAGAACCTGGTGCTGGGGTGGGACCTGGATGTTAGGGCAAACCCACATTTATCCCATGGGGCAGCATATAAGTTGTCTAATAAATAAATAAAATAAATAAATAAATAAATCCCCCAATATGAAGGATCTCTCAGTTCATTTCTGCTGCCACCATTAAACACCCTTGTATTTAATATACTTCTGTCCCCTTCAATCATTGATTATCAGACATGAGACAAAACAGATCAGAGGTGTCAGAGAAGTAAGGATGTGTAATATTTTGTTAAAAAGAAAGCACAAGTATTTCATTAATCCCGTTGCTACTTTTAAATAAGGTATCTGTGCAGTTGCCACAAGCCCCAGTTCTTATTCCTAACCAAAGTTAAACAAGCATCTCCCTAACCCTCAAATGCCTCCTCAGCAAGCTCACAGGTATAAAATGAGAACATGAAAAGTCAATTCTGGCAGGATTTGGCTTCCACCTGGACTCTTGAATATTGTTCAGGAGGTTTCCCTTGAAGCTTCCATACCACCCACACAAGCTGACAGTCAGGCTTCCACTCTTTCTCCTAAAGGTTGCTCCAGGAGTCATCTTCTTTCCCCCAGAAAACCCTTCTAGAATTCTGCCTCACATGCCTGCAGCTTCGCAGGTACACTTCTTCAGGCTTCCTTTCACAAAGGCCCTTCCCCAGGCACCCCCCTGCTTTATACCCATTCTAGTCAGATCCCTCCAGCCAATCAGCTCTGGGGTGGCCAGCATGCCACCAGCCTATCACTGTGTCAACTTTCAGCCAATAGGCATCTTTAGAATGCTGAGCACTTCCCCAATCAGATGGTGCCTGTTTCAATCCTGCCTTCGCATAGAAAAGGGGGAGCTTATCTTCATTTTTGCCTTTTGGTAGAAAGAGGAATTACAACTCGGCCAGCACTCCAGGTGCAGGTCTCCTCAGGAATAAGCCTACATTTTTCTTCTCGCTTTAATTCCTTCAGACTGTTAGTGGTCGACAGTGTTTTTTTTTGTGGGGGGAAAAAAGGTGCTGGAACTCACATCGCTGCCGGCAGTAAGCACTCAGCGCGCGACGACACACACCAATCCCAAGCCAAGCAGCGTCCCAAGCTGGGCGGCGCAGACACAAAAACGGCCCACAGGCACTACATTAATGAAGTTTGCTGCTGACCTGCTATGCCGACAGGTGATTCAAAATCACTTCGTAAAATCCATTGGAAAAAAAGGTGCCGGTGCCTATACAGCTTGGGCCCAGGCTATCTCAAAAACCATATTTTTCTGTATGAGCCTGCATGGGCTCTAAGATTTTCAAGGGAGGCCCTTTTTTTCGTCTCACCACCCTCAGTGGCACCCTTGGCAGGAATGCAGGAGAGGGCCTTTTCAGTAGCTGCCCCAAGGCTGTGCAATTCCCTACTGAAGGAGATTTATTTATTTACTCACTTACTTATTTAAATATTAGGTTGGCACCTTCCCTGCTATGTTTTTGTAAGCAGGCAGGCTTTTGCGAATGCCTTGCAAGTTTTCCCTGGCATGGTTTTACTGTTTATATTTTTGTAGTGTTTTTAATCTGGGTAGTGATTCAATTTTAATATTTAATTGAATTTATTATATTTTAAATTTTTGTATACTGTTGAATGTTTTGATTGTATGAATTTTAATGTTGTGAGCTGCCTTGAGTCCCAGTCACTGGGAATAGGTGCGATATAAATAAATAGATATAATAATAAAATAGTCCCTGATAACCACAATGAGGTATTCACTGACCTCGAGCCAGACATCCTGGAATGTGAAGTCAAATGGGCGTTAGGAAGTCTGAGCAACAACAAAGCTAGTGGAGGTGACAGTATTCCAGCTGAGCTATTCAAAATTTTAAAAGACGATGCAGTAAAAGTGCTACACTCAATCTGCCAGCAAATTTGGAAAACTCAACAGTGGCCACAGGATTGGAAAAGGTCAGTTTACATTCCCATCCCAAAGAAGGGCAATGCCAAAGAATGTTCAAACTACTGCACCCTTGCACTCATTTCACATGCGAGCAAAGTTATGCTCAAAATCCTACAAGCTAGGCTCCAGCAGTATGTGAACCGAGAACTACCAGAAGTACAGGCAGGATTTCGAAGAGGGAGAGGAACTAGAGATCAAATTGCCAACATACGCTGGATCATGGAAAAAGCTAGGGAGTTCCAGAAAAACATCTGCTTCATTGACTATGCTAAAGTCTTTGATTGTGTGGATCACAACAAACTGTGGCAAGTTCTTAAAGAGATGGGAGTACCAGACCATCTTATTTGTCTTGTGAGAAACCTATATGCGGGTCAAGAAGCAACAGTGAGAACTGGACACGGAACCACTGATTGGTTCAAAATTGAGAAAGGAGTTCGGCAAGGCCGTATACTGACGCCCTGCCTATTTAAATTATATGCAGAGCACATCATGAGAAAGGCGGGGCTAGATGAATCACCAGTTGGAATTAAGATTGCTGGGAGAAATATCAACAACCTCAGATATGCAGATGATGGAGAATGGAAGAAAGTGAAGAGGAACTAAAGAGCCTCTTGATGTGGGTAAAGGAGGAGAGTGCAAAAGTTGGCTTGAAACTCAACATTAAGAAAACTAAGATCATGGCATCTGGTCCTCTCACTTCCTGGCAAATAGATCGGGGAGAAATGGAGGTAGTGACAGATTTTATTTTCCTGGGCTCCAAGATCACCGCAGATGGGGACCGCAACCAAGAAATTAAAAGACACTCCTTGGGAGGAAAGCTATGGCAAATCTAGACAGCATACTAAAAAGCAGAGACATCACCCTGCCAACAAAAGTGCATATAGTCAAGGCTATTGTTTTCCCAGTTGCAATGTATGGCTCTGAAAGCTGGACCATAAGGAAGGCTGAGCGCTGAAGAATTGAGGCCTTTGAATTGTGGTGCTGGAGGAGACTCCTGAGAGTCCCTTGGACCGCAAGGCGATCAAATCAGTCAGTCCAAGAGGAGATCAACCCTGACTGCTCTTTAGAAGGCCAGATCCTGAAGATGAAACTCAAGTACTTTGGCCACCTAATGAGAAGGAAGGACTCCCTGGAGAAGAGCCTAATGCTGGGAACAATAGATGGCAAAAGAAGGAGGGGACGGCAGAGGATGAGGTGGCTAGATGGAGTCACTGAAGCAGTTGGTGTGAGCTTAAGTGGACTCCGGGGGACAGTGGAGGACAGGAAGTCCTGGAGGAATGTTGTCCATGGGGTCGCGATGAGTCGGGAACGACTTCACAACTAACAACAACAACAAAGACATGGAAACTTCAGAACTGGGATCATACTGGCAATTATGCCACACCTGTGACTTCTTGCTCAGTGGCACACTTGTGATTTCCCATGATGGTGTATTACATCCTGTATTACATGTGTTGTGCTGCACTTGTACATGTTTGCAAAAGTATCAGTATAAACGTAACCAAAGAGAAAACAGAAAATCTTTTCTACCCAACTCTATTCATCTGCTCTATGTATTTTCAGTTTTGTTGCAGAATTATTTTCATCCACATAAAGAACTTTTCCTTCCTGCTCTTTTGCGATATAACCTCTAGGTGGAGTTGTGCCATAGCAGAATGATACAGTTGCATAAGAGCAAAAATACTTTTTTTCCAGTTTCAAAAATAATACTCCATTTAACCATGTTAGTACCCCCTGCCCCACAGTACCCTTAAAAAAACAAGCAGACCTGCAGGGTTACATCACAGACTATGGAACTTGGAGGCAACCGTGAGCAGGGAAAGATAAGTGCAAAAGAAATGCTTCATGTAGAAAGGCTCATGGTTTCTCTGAATGGAGAGCAGACTGCTTTGTTGGGAGCTTATTTAGAAATTCTCAGTGCTTCCAGATGAGCTCTCTAATATGCAATTACCCTGCTTCATTCACATAACTTTACTGGGGATGATGATCCAGAAGCCATCTTACATTTTTAGCCCTCCCGTGGTATCCGGAATTTTTTTCTTTTTTCCTTATCTGAAAAACAAGTTAAGGAAGGGGGAAAAACGGAAGAACAGCAAATGCCTTTAGATTGTTAGCACTCAGATTCCCCTGTTTTGAAGTCAGGTGACTTCTTACACACAGAGAATATACATTGGAAAAAAGAAAGAAAAGATGGCTGTGATTTGCATATGTTAATTTTTGAGTATAGAATGAAATTTCATTCATTCATTCATTAGTTCATAACCCCAGGCAACATTTTTAAGAAATTTCTGTTTGCGACCCGATTTGGGGTGTTTGTGAGCCCAGGTACCACTGTAGTAACTAAGGTTGTGATGAAGCTCCCCGGGGTCCATCCCTCTTTATTTCATGTACTTCTCCTGCTTGGCCCTTTCTTGGAAAGTGAGCCAAGCTGAAAGAAAATTTGAGCACACTCATGGAGGTCTAATTGTGCACCAAGCAGCTTCTTCTATGTTTGCTGGAGTATGTTTCCCTCTATGATTCATGGCTGTGAGGGCTTGGGCCAGAGTATGCAGAGCTTAGCTCAGAGAAGCCAAGAAATCACATACCTCCCCTGAAAATAGATTCCTCACACATCCCCAGTAGTAACCATCTTTTATGTCTATGTTGTCCTGTGAAGTTTTTCATAGTCAGACTACAATGCCTCAGACTGCTTCAGAGATATATCTTAGTGAGGCCACTACCCAAAGACGTGGAAATGGAACTGCCTGCAATGCTAGCTTGGAGAACATGGTGCATTGCTTAAAATATCATTTGTGTCAGGCAGAATCCAGACAACTGGAAGGTAAGTGTCTTCTCCTACAAGTGTCTTCTCCTAGTCAGTTATTGCTGGAAGCTAAATGCACCAAAGATCTGATTCAGCGCCACTTTCTAACCTTGGCACTGCCATCCATGCTGACATCTGTGGGAGAGGGGATAATGCTGCCTGAGCATCAGACCAAAACTTAGATATTTATTTCCAGCAATAGCACACAAATGCATGTGGAAACTTGCACACAGAGATAAGAGAGAGCCAATGTGCTCAACTGTTTGTTGCAACAGCTGATGATCAGGTGCATTCATTTTTATTTGTTCCTGAGACTGAAACTGCTTTGGCTGCAATTTATGTTGATGTATTTGAGGTCTAAACCACCTTGGGAGCTGTTGTGCCCATACAAAAGGTAAGTAATTAACTGGAAGTTGTTGATAGATGAATTCTTCCTGTATTTTTGTTCTATGCCCTGGCTCTAGCCATGGGCCTTCCTGCACAAGAGTTGCATCATGTAGGGGTAATATTTATTTTTTATTCATTTGTTTGGGTATTTTTATCCCATCCAATTACAACACGTCTCTGGGTGGCTTACACCAGTACAGTACAGTACAGAATATTCCAGAAGAATTACCAGGTGTGTAACATGCATTACCTGCTACTGCTAGGAAAAGGCTCTGCAGATTTGGAAGTCTGTAGAACCTGCAATCCCATGAATTCCTCCCCCACCCCTTTTTGTCCCTTTGTTCTGTCCTTCCAGAGGAAAACACTGGTCCTTCCAGTGAAACTGAGTGCAAACTGTGCCCCAGAAAATGGCAGCCCCATGGAAAGAAGTGCTACAAGGCTTTTGATCAGACACAAAGGACTTGGAACGAGAGCAAGGAGGAGTGCGCTAAGAAAGGCGCTCAGATGCTAGTGTTACATGACAAAAAAGAGGAGGTAAGAAAACCAGTAAAAGGTCTGGACAATGCAGAAGAGGATGAGATACCTGGCACAAGAAAGGACTTCATGGTTACTTTCAGTAAAAAATAACAGTTCCTATGGCCTGTAAATCAGAGCATCCATCCCTTCTTCTCAGGATACTTGCAGACGGAAGGTCCCAAGAACTAGGTATTGTGAAGTTCCCCCTTTTTTCACTTGAATGGATTTTCTTTGTTAAGGAAGGAAAGGAAGAAGGTGGTAGGAAAATTCAGGGGATTTGCAAGTACAAGATGGCCCCATCTGAGTGCCCCCATAAACTTCTTTGAACTCGGTAGAAATATGGCATCATCAGAGTCTTGTTGAAAGCCCCCAGACAAGCACTACACAATTTTAATCAAGATGTGGTTGGTTTGCACAACAAGTATTAAGAGCTTCTCTACGCAACTCTTTCAACTCGCCACTTAACCAAAGCTTCTGCTTCCAGATGTTTTGCAGGATTAAGACTGAGTTCTGTACAGATTTTTTTGGCATTTTTGTGAGCTTTGTGTGTGTTCCACCATCCAACTAACAGATGGCACTGTGGTACAGCACAGTTGCATAAACACACATGTGTTTCATGGCACCGTTTCTAAAATGCCAGACTTTTCTCACTCTAAAGGAAGACATGGGCAGGGTTACAGAGCATGGGAAGGGGCCCAGAAGGTGTGCCATAGTGTTGTGCACCCAACAGCTGCTGTGCGTGAGGAATGTTGACAGCATAAGAAATGCTTCTGGGTGAAAAGGTGCCATAAGTAGCACTTTCTTCAGTGGTTATTTTTGTGCAGCAGGGAGGGAGAGGCTGCAAGGGGAGAGCCCGTTCGTCTGACTCAGTGCAGCAGCCGTCGCCCTCTCTTCTAGCGCTGGACACCATTTCCTCAGACACACCTCTGTACCTTTGTGTGGGCAGAAAACACTTCTTCCCACACACAGGGATTCGCACCCATACCAAGAGAGGTGTCATTTCCTTCCATGGCAGGTGTATAATTTCCACATCTGGGGCTTGTCTGAACCAACTGATTTACTTATTCAGCATTCTTCTTATGTCAACGTGTTTCAATCATGAAAGTGCATTCTTGCGTATCTGCATTCTTTTAAAAGAGGGACAACACTGGGGTTCTCCAAGTGAGGGGGGTGGCCAACGGTTTTGCAATGCAACATGGTATCGTCATGGTTGGAGTGCTGGGCTGGGACCCAGGAGATCTGGTTCTAGTCCCCACTCAGCCATGAAGCTCACTGGGTGACTTTGGGCCAGCCACCCATGTTCAGTCTAGCCTACCTCACAAGGAGGGTGTGAGGATACAGTGAGAGGAAGAGTTCTTTCTCTCTCTCTCTCTCTCTCTCTCTCTCTCTCTCTCTCTAGATAGATAGATAGATAGATAGATAGATAGATAGATATAAAAGCCACCTTGGGTTCCTCAGAAGAACAAGAAGACAGGATGTAAGTGTGAGAATATGAATAACACCAACAGAATTACAGTATTTCTGGAAAATTCAGCAAAGTTCTTATGGGTTGGACTACCTTACTTGGGAGGAGGCTGAGGTGTGTGGATGTCTATTCTTATTTCATTGAACTATCATCTCTCCATCAGCATGGAGCTTCTTTGGCTTCCTGCACTTCCATTAAAACCCAGGGGACGACATAAGGAGGTGATTCTTCCACAAGGGCTCTTTTGGATCATGATACATGGGCAGCCTGGGAAATTGCAGATCAATGGAGACATGTGATCAAACAAGTGCATGCACATGCAGTATCCTACAGCCACCTTGCCACAAGCTCAAAAGCAGCACAAACAGAAATTCAAAATAATGTATAACATGCTCTATGAGTATGGAAGACATTTTTCGAAATTGGAGGAGCCGTTTTGGTGTAGCACTAGGGCTGCCTCTTTCTCAGAGCTGAGTACAACACTGTTCCCCTCACACCTGCAGTATGGAGGGGGCAAAATGGGGGCCAGGTGGCCAACACACAGTGCATTGACCATTTGTGTAGGGCAGCACGACCCCTTGGAAAAAGAGGCAGAAGCTGTCAGGCAGCTCCCATCAATGAGAATCCACTCAAGAATTGCCAGTGAGAAGCTGTTGAGGTATTTCTCCTTTGACTGGAGAACCTTGGCTAAATTGTCCTCTCAATTTCTCTTCCCACAAACAGGGTGGAGAATTCCGAGCGGCCTTTTGTATGCAACTCTAATTAAAGCTTTCTTGCCTGAGTTAATATTTATCACAGTGGATGAGTATCAGATGTGTGCCCCATATAAGCTAGTCTGCTGCCCCCAAGTGGAGTGGAAGATACTGGCCTAAAGGTTCAACATTCTAGTCAGGTTCAGGCAGTAAAATGGCTTCAGATGTTCCCCAAGAAGGATGTTTAGTAAAATCTTGCTATGATACATTTTACAGGAATACATTATAAATAAATTAAAGCCTAAGAACTCTGTCTGGATTGGGCTTCAGTTCAGCTCAAAGGAGAAGACATGGATGTGGGTGGATGGCTCTCCCTTAATGAAATACCAGTGAGTACTCTCAGAATTTATGCATTTGGAAAATGATTACAGAAATGGAAGTTTAGTATTTTAATCATGTAGTATTTTAATCATGCAGGCTATTTTTCATTAATACAGTGCTCACTGCTTTGTATTTAGATGAAAAGAGCATTTCAGTTTTGGGATCCAATGACCTAAAATTGCATGGAAAGTGTATTTGTGGGTAGTATCTTAGCTTCAGCTACCTGCCTGAAGAGAAAGCCCAAGATTTTATGCTTTTTTAAAAAACAAAGTTGTTCCGTCCATCAACAATGAATTTGCTTAGCACATCAAAGTGACATATTTAATCTTATGCCCTGCATAAAGACAATACTATGCACATAATAAACAAGTAAATTATCATTAGTGTCCACAACAGTAGTTCCCAATTTCTTGAGTTTCTGGCCAATTTAGACATTGTCAGCATGTATGTGAAGTTTAAGAATTTTTGTCCCAGTGTACTTCATTTTGCATTTACAATCCCATTGGCTTGGGATTGATGGATACCTTCATGGAACATGACTGAATAAATGACAGAACCATAAACACACAATAGGACTTATCACTAAACCAATCCAGATTTAAAGAAAGAAAATGCAACATCCAAAAACTTTTGTGTCTCTGGATATGTTGTTTAACATACCAAAGGGCCTAATTTAAGGTGTTAATTTTGATATACAAAGCCTTAAACAGCTTAGGGCCTGAATGTTTGGAGGAACATCTCTTTCCATACACAGCTGCCCAAACTCTAGGATCTTCCACTGAGGTCCTTCTTTGGGAGCCCTCTCTGAGCTTGGAAGAGTGGCTACCTGGAGAAGGGCCTTCTCTGTTGTGGCACCCCAGCTTTGGAACCTGCTCCCTGGAGAGGTGAGCCTGGTGCCAACACTTTATTTTTTTGGTGCCAGGCCAAAACGTTTTTATTCACCCAGTATTCTAAGGGCTGATTGTTTTATTATATAATTGGAATTATTCAATTGTAATTTTTATTGTGCTTTAATTTGCTGTTATGCTTCTGGTTTGCAAGCCATCTTTAGGTCTGTTTTGAATAAATACAGGATAGAAATGTTTTAAATAAAGAAATACATTATAGAAATGGGGAAGCAAGGAAACGACCTCAGTGCATCCAGCTACTAGTTCCTCTGATCAATCTAGCTAGCTGAATGTTCTGTTCCACAGGTTGCATGAACTTGTAGAAGATAAAAGCCAACAATGTGGAACCTTCAAGACTCAGCTGGGGACTGACCTCTGCTCAACTAGGCTGACGTGGATTTGCCAGAAGGAAGCTCTAATAATATAGAAAATGGCCGAGCTGTTTTGTGTTCATGTAACTGAAAGCTGTATGGGCTGCACTTGTCATTTAGGAACTCTAATTTTTAAAAAGATGTGTCAGTTCTAGAGAGTTCTGGAAAGCTCTGGAGCCTGGATAATTCTTTGAACAATCATGCTTTGCCAGGAAGATGGATAAAAAATTACATTCAACAGGCTATCCCTGACAGAGTTAGTTTAAAAGATCTTTGAAGGAAATTCTGTGAACTGGCTGATTTCTGCCCCTGTAGGATTCTGCTTTTAATTTTTAGGCATTTTTAGTGCCTACTGAAAGTATATTTTAGTTCTTTTAGAGAAATCATCTTGTATTTGTAAGAAATGATTATCTTGTTAACCAGTCGACTCAGAAAAGGTGGAATTGAGCATTCACTACTTCTGTGCTTTTGGCTGCAGTAAATATAAAACCATATTGTACCACATGACATGCAACTATGCAGTTGAATAATAAATACACCATGCAGGCATATCCAAACTGCGACTGAATCATAAGCATAAGAAAAGAGGGGAAGCAGGTGTTTTACTGGCGTTGTGCTAAAATCCCCACCCCACCCCATCTCCCCCCGATCATGCTCCGTGCATTTAATAGAAAGAAAATTGTGCTTGAAAAATAATTCAGAAAAATTCTTATGACTTGGATTCACGTTCTTGTGCTTCCTTTGCATAGGAGAAGATGTGAGGAATGCGCACAATTGCTCTGTCTTTTATTGCAATCATCTTGCTAGCAGCCTTTCACTTTCCCAAGTTCCTACATTCCAATGGAAGTCCAGGGGGAAACACAGTGTAGTAATTTCCTCCATGTCCTGCACTCTGGCATGATCCAGAAGAGACCCTGGCCTTCCTCTGTGTAGCCACCCTTCAGGTCCTTGAAGAATGTTATCATATCTCCTCTCAGTCATTTTTTCACCAGACTAAGCATGCCCAGTTCTTTCAATCTCTCCTCATAGGAGTTTGTTTCCAGACCTTGGTCATCCCTGTCGCTCTCCTCTGAGCTGCCTCCAGCTTGTCTGCATCCTTTCTGAAGTGTGTTTTTCCAGAACTGGGCACAAGATGGGGCTGAGCTAGTGCCAAACAGAGAGGAACCAGTACCTCACGTGATCCACAAGCTGTACTTCCACTAATGCAAATAGCATTTGGGGTTTTTTTTTTTTTTGCAGCCATATCACACTACTGACACCTATTCAGCTTGTGATCTCCAGCAATGCCAAGGTCCTTCTTGCTTGTAGTATTCTTGAGCCAAGTATCCTCCATCATGCAATCGTGCATTTGATTCTCTTTCCCTAGGTACAGAGCTCGGTACTTGTTTCTATTATATTTCATTCTGTTGCTTTGAGTCCAGCACTCCAGCCTACAACAATCAATTTGACACATTGACATAAGCATCTTTTGCACCGTCTCGTCCAAATCATTAATGAAAGTGACATAGAGCCCTGGACACAGGACGGAGCCCTGTGATATCCTGCAGATGCTTTCTCCCATGAAAAGGTAACTATTGATACTCAAAGCTACTCTTTGCACCGATTTTGACACCAAATGTGGATCCGCCTAACAGGTCTTCTACCTTGCCCATTTTTAGCTAGTTTGCTGATCAGAACATGACGAGGTACTTTGTCAACATCTTTACCAGTGTCAAGATATGTTATGCCCACAGCATCCCTTCAGTTCATGAGTTGTACTCAAAGTGCATACAATGGAAGAAAGTGGTATAGAGAATTGATGCAGATTTTCAAGCAGTTTTTTTTAACAAATCCCAAACTGATCTAGAACTTGGATGGAACAGACACATGACTGAATGCATGTGAAACTGAAATGGACCATCACCAATCCCTGTATTATCAGGGAAGTAAGCTGTGAATAAAGATGGAGGTAGCATTTATATGCTGTCGAAATTGCAGCAGACACGAGCTGTGCGTTACAGTTGCATGACATTGGAATCATGTTCATCCCCCTGCACATAAAGGTCTGTTTTGCTGCAAATCCAGTTCTTCTTGGTCTTGCACCATGAGGACATGATGGCGTTGTCACTCAGGTAGGCACAGTCTCCTCCTTCATCAATGGGAAACCTGTAACAAATTGACAAATCAAGTTGATGTAGCCACAGCGGACTCAAGGTGTGTAGGCAACTGTCATGACTGTTTTTGCAAGAGGATGCTTTAACTCTCGGCTCATATATCATTGTTATGCAGGTTTTATTTAGGTTTTATTGTTATATTGTCTTATCATGTGTTGTGTTGTAAACCACTTAGAGAGTGCCATGGGACTATTAGAGCAGTATACAAATTTAATAATGAAAGAATGAATGAATGTTGGGAAGCGGAGGCTGCCAATGACGCAGCTCACATTAATTCCATCCCATACCAAGACAGATTCTCAATTGGAGAAGTCCATCATACAGTGGAAAAGTCCATGCATTGCACAGAGAAGGGCTCAAGGTCACCCCAGGCATCTCCTGATCATTCATTCATTCATTCATTCATTCATTCATTCATTCATTCATTCTCCCAAAGCCAAATAGAAGGCAACTGTCAGAATTGTGGCAAAATGTGCATTTTTTTCTCTACAGTGCAAGCTGCTGGACAAGCTAACCAAGTTTATTCCATCACTCGGTGCGTTTCATAGACAGGAGCAGCTGAGCTGTGTCAGAGAATTGGAATGGTCCTAGCTTATATGAAGCACGGGGAGTGATGCACACAAATGTAATTGTCCAGCTTATTCAGAGAAAGGCAATGCACACTTGCACTGATTTCTGGCACCAACATATTCTGAAGTGTATAGCTGATTATATCTGGAGTATATGAGGCACAGAATCATAGAATAGTAGAGATGGAAGGAGCCAGAAGGCCATCGGGTCCAACCCCCTGCTGTTGACAGACAGTAAGTTGCAGTTAGATGACTGTCCAGATGCTTTTTGAATGTCTCCAGAAGGGAGAGCCCACAACTTCCCCAGGTAATAGGTTCCATTGTTGTACTGCTCCGACAGTGAGGAAATTCTTCCTGGTGTCTAGTCTGAATCTGCTTTCTTTTAACTCAAGGCTCTTATTCCGTGTCCTGCACTCTGGAATGAATGAGAAGAGACCTTGTCCTTCCTTCTTGTGAGAGCCTTTAGGTACTTGTGGAGTGCTGCCGTATCTCCACTCAGCCTTCCCTTCCTGAGGCTGAACATGCCCAGTTCTCTCCACCTTTCCTCACAGGGCTTTGCCTCCAGTCCCTGAATCATCCTTGTTGCCCTCCTCTGTACACTTTGTTTCTTTGAAGCATCTTTTTAAAACCTAGGTGCCCAAAACTGGACACAGTACTCCAGGTGATGTCTGACCAGCACTGAACTAATACTTCTTGTGTTCTGGAAGTGATGTTTCTGTTAATGCATTCCAAAATAGTATTTGATCTTTTTGCAGCTGCATCACATTGTTGGCTCCTAATTACCTTGTGATCTACAACCCCAAGAGGGCATCTCATTTGCACTATTGTTGAGCCAAGTGTTCCCCATCTTGCAGCAGTGCATTTGGTTCCTTGTTCCTAAGGGGAGGACTTGGCATTTGCCCCTACTGAATTTTGTTCTATTGTTCTCTGCCCAGTGCTCTAAACTATTGAGATCATCCTGTGTTTTATCTCTGTCTTCCAGGGCATTTGCTATCCCAGCCAGCTTTGTGTCATCTGCAAATTATCTTTCCTTATACATCCTCATCTAAACCATTAATAAAACTATCGAAGATACTGGTCCCAGGCAGAACCCTGCAGCACCCTACTTGTCACCTCTCCCTAGTTTGACTCCAATTTTGCAGCCAGTTGTGGATCCACTAGACACACATGGCCTGCTGCATATTGAGTTGTTCAGTCAGCTCCTGCCAAAGAATGAAAAAGAAAGAACTCACCTGTCGTTGAATGCTTTCCCATTAGCCCATGTCCAAGGCTTGCTTGCATCCTTGCTAAGGCCAATCCAGTGATAAATCGAACCCTTATAACGCAGGAGGAATTTCTACAGAGTGAATAACAAGTTTAGATTAATAGTGTCTCCTTACTAATGTAACTTGATTTGTACCGGAAAGAAGATACTACCTGTAGGACTTGGATACTACTTCAAATTAAAGGGGCACTAGCAGGATAAGGAGAGTGCAGAGAAGGTGATGTATGTATGTATGTATGTTCTGCCTCTGCTTTCACAGGAGAGAATACAAAACAGATACCTGTTCCTGATCTTAAATATTCCAGAAGGGGGACTGAGACATAAAGGCAGATTGTAGTGACAAAAGATGAAATTCTCAACCTTACTAATGAACTGAAAGTAAATGACTCATGGGGCCCAGATGGTGTCCATCCTAGAGTTCTTGAAGAACTCAAATACGAAATGGCTGACCTTCTCACCAAAATATTTACTATGCCCCTAAAATTAGAAACTGGTGAATGGCCAATATAATACCAATTTTTAAAAAGGGATCTATGGGAATCTGGGGAATTACAGGTAGGGATATGGAAGGAATCCATCAAATTCCCTGGGCTCAGCTCCCCGGAATCTGGTCTGCTTTGACACATCTGAGAGTCCAAGTTCCTCACAGGTGCGCCCAGCATTTGTGCCGCATAGAATCATAGAATAGAAGAGTTGGAAGGGGCCATGAAGGCCATTGCGTCCAGCCCCCTGCTGGTGCAGCACTTGCCAGGAATCCCGCCTTGCACGGATGCTGCACAAGCAGTGTCCCTCTTTCACAGCAGGTGCAGCAGCCTTAGACACAGACACGCAGTGCATCCCAGGAATGGCGCCCTGTGCGAATTCTGCACATGCAGTGTCCCTCTTCCACACCACGTCTGCATACGGCAGTCGCTGAGGAGCTGGGCAGGAGGAGGTCTTGCACCCCTCCTGCTTGAGGGGTCCTGTGGGCAGCTGGTGCGGCACGGTGCGTATGGAGTGCAACTAGATGGACCCTGGGTCTGATCCAGCAGGACTTTCCTCATGTTTTTATATTCTTCATTTAACTGTGAAGATAAGTGAATTGTAAGTTCTCAATTTATTTCTAGATTTTAGGTGCCTTCCTTGCATTCCTGTTATTTGTAGTGTGTGTGAGAGAGAGGGGCGGGAAGGGGGGAGTTTCCAGCTTCTTGTGCCAAGAACTGTTTAATTCTACAAAATCATCAGTATTTTTATATTTATACCCCAAGGAAGAATCCAAACAGTAATCTGTGCTAACCTTCTTGTCCCTCTCCTCTGGAAACCAACACTGGTGCAATGCCAACAGTACTTGCTAGCACAATGGGGTGACGTGCTGTGCCATGTAGCCACTACTGATGTTATGCAGCTGTCAGTTTCACTACTGCTGCATTCACCGTGCTTGTGCATTTGCATGAGCATCACTCGACCCTTCTCCAGATGACCCCAGGAACACACACTCATGACCTCAGAAATCTTCCTTTTCCTCGGCATTCTGTTGCTTAGTGTGACTTGAACTGCACTGCATGCCGGCTTCAGCAGAGGAACTCAAGTTTAAACCAGGGCATTTCAAAATCATGCAACCAGCCATAAAACCCACAGGTGGCACACCTCACTTCAGGGCTTCCTGCATCTAGCTGGGAGCCCTCACAAGAGACAGCAAAGCAATGGTGTGAGCATCTCTCCTCACCAGTTCCAGCTTGGTTTCTATCTCTGACAGGGAGGCATTGAACGAAGAACAATTGTGCTGGCTGGCAAACCAATCTGCTTCCTCATCAGAGAAGTAGTAGCATTTGTTTAGGTATCCAACCCAGCCACGAGGACAGAGGGAGCCAGTGCTGCCTGCCTTACATCCTGGAAGTTCTTCTCGTTGCATAACTGAAAAGGAAAAACCAGAAGCGATCATAGAAACAGAGCGAGTCAGAAGGGGCCTCCTGGGCCATCTAGTCTGACCTTCGACTCCAGCCAACTTCATTCATGACATGCACAAGTCTCATTGTGTGAATGCAGTGGAGCAGATTAACCAGCTGCAAGGAAATGTTTTCAGTCATGAGACCCCAGTTATGGAACAGGCTTCTCAGAACACTTCTGGCACCAGGCAAAGGCCTTTCTGTTCAGCCACCCCTTGGAAATAATTCATGGAGTCTGAGTCTCCCAGTTTGGAGTGCTGCGAGTTTTATTTTACTTTAAGGGGCTTTTAATCGTATGGTTTGCTACACTGTTTCAGGGCTGGCCTAAAACATCTTGCTGCCTGAGGCAAAGGGCAAGATGGTGCCACCGCATTCCACATGCAGGGGCGGCTGGGCTGGCAGCGGAGGCCTTCCATTGAGTGGCACGCACCAGGGGATGTTTGGTGGGCTTCACCGCATGCCCAAGTCTCTCCTCCAACACTTCGCCACGGCTCTGTCGCACCCAAGTGGTTACCTCGCTCAGCCTCATGAGAGGGCTGGCCCTCTTTCAACTGCTCTTAAATTATTCACTTAAAGACTTGCTTAGCTGCTCAGGGGCATGAGGGGACGACACATCCCAGGAGTTTTTTTTCTTTTGCCAGGGTCTTTTCCAGAGTTTCCAAAACTTTCCAGAGTTTTCATTTACTGCATGTTTTAGCTGTTTTAAAATCATGTTAATGTTGCTTTGATTTTATGGTATGTGTATTGATTGGTTTTATGCATTGCTATAAACTGCCCAGAGGGCTTCAGCCATGGGCAGAATATAAATAAAATTAACAATGAGAGCAGCAGCAGCAACATACAAGGAACTTACCTGTCCAAGCAGTTGCCATGGTAATTAAAGTAACACAGAGAAGCACAATAACTGCACCATGTACTGTCTTCCTGGACACATAAGAGGTGGTCAGGGCTCGAAAACCTAAGAAGGAAGGAAAAAATGTTCTTGGGACGACCCATGGAAGGCATCTCTGTTGGATTCACACATTATGATAAGCCATGGTGATTTGTTGTGCTGTCTGAACCCTGGCAGAGCAGTTTGTTTGTAGTCAACAAACCATGCTGCTGCTCTCACAGGAGGTAACAGACTAAGTCACAGAACATCGCACTGATGAAATGAAATGCAACTGTGCATTGATGAATCACAGTGCAAAAAGGCATCCTAGTGCAATTGTGTAATTGCATCAAGACCCCACCCCCTGGGTGATGATTTAACCCATGGCTGCATGCCCTTATGCACATTAAGAACCTGCAAAGAAAGGGAAAACACAAACTAAAACCTTCATCAGAGTGGGTGAATGTTCTGAAGCTGAAATTCGTTTCAACAATTCTCTAAGTTAAATCAGACAAACTGAAGCAAAGACAGGTTAACAACAGCACATAAAAAGTAGCAAAATGGAGCAGGAGGCATCAGGGGCCCTCTGTACCACTGCTGACATTTATTCCAGTCTGTGAGCATTGCGTTTGTCCTTTCCCTTGTCACATTACCTTTCTCTTTTATGCCTTCCTCTGGTTTATTACTGTTGCAATGAATGATAATTTCCTCAGATTTGCTGGAGTTTAGTGGCTTTGCTCCTTCATCCATCTTCTTATTGAGAGATTAGAACAGATCCTGTTTCGCATCACATGTTATAATTTATGAGGAGCCTGAGGTCCAACATGACTGTCAGTATTGTGTTCTCTGTAAAATAACAGTTCATATGCAAGTCTGAGGAACACATTTGCTGTGCCTGTGAGTTTCCCTGTTCTCAGCACTGCTTGTTTTCTCATTTTCTTTTGCTCTTGAGAGTGAACAGAAACAGTAAGCAGGGCAAGATGCAAAGCAGAAGTGAGGAGCTTGTTTCTTTATATGAGTTGTCAGCTGTGTTGGGAAAATTTGGATAAATCCTGGCAGAAAAACATTGCTTATATGTGCTTTTGTGTTATAAAATCAAATCTGCTCTCTTTCTCAAAAGCATCAGCTTTCCAAGCCAAGTTACTGTTTAATATTACTGTTGCCTTAAGAGAATGGCTCTTCTTCTCCCCTCTAGCTGTAAGCCAGAGCAGACAGGCCATTCAGTCAAATACACAATCACTGCTACAATGTTGCTGCATAGTCCCTGTAGGAATTCAGTTTACCAAGAAGCATTTAGTTAGCTAGTCCAGAGCACTTTCCGCAGTATAGCCAATCAGAAAGGTGTGGATCCATTACTCAGGGTCTAAGTCTTCCTGATAACAGAATGCAACAGATGAGATGAGTTTTGTATTTTGTATTTTATTTGATGTTGTAAGCCGCCCTGAGGCTTCGGCAAGAGGGGGCATAGAAATGTTTTAATAAATAAATAAAAATAAATGAGTTCACAAATGGTTTCTTAATAGCTGGAATTTACATGTCTAAGCAGACCTGGAGATGGGTTCAAGTTTCTGGAATTTATGCAACTGAAATGTCAATAATACACTGCAATTAGAAATATTGTCACTTGTATGTTTGGCTGATCTTCCTTATCTGTCCTGTTTATGATGACCTCAGAATTTCATTGTTATGTCTGCATTCTGTCATTAATTGCTCTGTACCTGTGTACGTGACTGGCAGAATATAAAAAGCTCTGTACTTGTATTGAAACCTCACAGTTGAGTTTGCCTCTGCCTGGTAGTGCATTATCATGAGTAAAACCTGCAGGGAACCTGGGGTTATGTTAATAAAGCAGCGGAGGTTCGAAAGTTTGATCTTTCCCATGAACCCAAGTTTTTATTTCCTCCTCACAAATTGAAAACTGAGATTCTGTCAGCTGCTAAAGAGGAGATGGTCTGCAACAGTAAATGGGCTGAGGGCAGCTTGTCTCCCTTTTATACTCTCCTGGGTGTTCAGGGGCTTCTCTATACAAGGCATTTATTTTGCACTCATAATCCCTCACTCACAGAAATTTGCAGCGTCTTTTCATGAAATTGTCATCCTTCAGGGACTCTACTGAGTTTTCCAACCATTTTCACAGCTTTTTTTTTAAGTGCAAGGAAGTTCTGTTTGTAGGATGCTCTCATCCTCTAGCAAAGAAAATGGAAGAAGCCATCTTGGATTAGCATAAGGTTATAGGCTTCATGCAAAGTTGTTCTGCTCTCTCAGCTCAAGGAGCAAACTGGTGGTTGCAGGCACTTTAACGTGAGGAAACCCCAAAATCCTAATGATCTCTGCTCTGATTTGCAAAAGGTTTGCCCAGCAACAGGCCCAAGGAGATAACAAAGTTAGCTGGAGGTTCAACTGGAGGTTAGAGGAAAGACTCGGGATAAGAATTTACCAATGAGCAAGAAACTACTTTCCTGTTTGGTTGGAGTGGAAAGGAAATGGGCTGTTTTTATGATATAAAAGCCTGAGGCTGAAGGGCAAAACTTAGATTTGAGGATAAGAAAGCTCAAAAGAGAAAATCAGAAAGATAGAAAACAGAAAGAAATCCAAAGCCCAAGAGGAAGGAAAGAGTGACTGCAAATAAGGAATTGGTCAAGAGAATGGCTGTGGCAGAAGGTATTACAGGGAGGGGAGATCACCTGTCTAGGTTACCTAAATGTGTTTATCCCCAAGTATTTTATTACCTTATTGCTATAATATGTGCATGTGTGTGCATTACATTCATGGACAGATAAAATGCTTTTTCCTATTAACAGTTTTCCTAAATAGCCATTAAAGGTAAATGTGAATACTTCATTATTTGAAACAAAGTGGGGGCGGGGGATTCTCGTTGGCTTACCTATGTCAAATAGCCCACTTCACCAGACACACGCTAGGTAAAATAGATACCTGGAGATCCAAAGAGTTTTAAAGTTGGTTTGATGGAGGGAACCATGGATGGGGAAGGGAAAACACCAAAGGAAAGGAAGAGCAGAAAGGAGTCCGGCACACAAGTTTGTCTGGGATTCCTTCCACACATGGAAAAGGACACAGGCTTCATGACACCAGTGGCAAGAATACTTGCATCATTGTTACTGCTTTTGAACAGTCAGTGCAACAATTTGACATATAGTTAAGCTTTCACTCAATTATCACAGTCCATACTTTTTTCCTTTCCTTTCCTTTCCTTTCCTTTCCTTTCCTTTCCTTTCCTTTCCTGTCCTTTCAAAATCAGGGTTTCTAACCTCCTTGTCTCCCAGGCCCACATGATCGATTCTCCGGGTGTGTGTGTGTGGGTAATGCTGGTAATTTCAGCATCCAGCATATAACCTTGAATATGTATGCATTTATTTATTTAAACTCTTTTTATCTTATTCTAAAGCAGATTGGAATCTCAGGACAGCTTACATTAGAATATACATACATACAAATAAAACAACAATAACAGGGCAATGAAATTCACACAGCACTTAAATGAAATCACAGTATAAAATATATACTAAAAAGATGTTGGCATGGAACTGAAATGAATAAAGAGTTGGTACCAGGTGCACCTCTCTGGCTCCACAGTTGGGGGGCTGCCACTGAGAAGGCCCTTCCCCTAGTAGTCACTCTTCCGACCTCTTTCAAAGAGGTTCTGGAAAAGGACCTTGGCAGAAGATCTTAAGATCCAGGCAGGTGCAAATGTTCCTATGCCCTAAACTGTTGAGGACATTATGTGTCAATATAATATAAGAATTATATAATATATCCCTATATTATTAGGGATGTATCTGCTTTTGTTCCATTTTAAATATCATACATACCATTGAAAAATATTTTGAAAGAGTTCAGAGTTTTTAGGATTTCATTTGTAAGCTAATAAGGGGAGAGCCCCAGTACAACCTCCCTGGCTGATTTAGACTCTAGCTATTTATTATATTTATATCCCACCTTTCTCCATGTAGAACTCAAGGTGGCCCATGCAGTTCCCAGCTGGTCTCCCCTTCCAAGCTCAGGCGAGCCCCAGACCAGCTTACTTTCAACATGGTGGATGCCTTATGTGCCTTCAGACCATACTCTGAGTCCAAGGATTTAAGTTAAATGATGCTGGATCATAGTTCCATTTCTTAATGGCTAGGCCTGTGCCCTTCCATCTATCACAGGTCCCAACATTTGGGATTGACCCAAAGGAAGCCTGGCTAAGCTCTTAAAAGGCTGAAAAAGCCCTAAGCATATCCCATTCTCCTCTCACTGCAATGAACGCGCGGCATTCTACTTACCCACATCCCCGTTGCTCTGCTGCTTCGGAAGACTGCAGCTCTGATAAATCAGAACAAAATGTGCATCCTGTTTTCTTATATTGAAATACTGTGACGATTGCCTGTTACCTTGCTATTACAGAAACCAGAAAAGTTTCAGTTCCAAGTGCACTGTTGACAAGTCAGGATTTCCAGGTTCCTGTTTGAAAAGCCTGAATAATGCTGTGACATTGAGTTCTGCTTGTGATTTGAGCTGCTTCAGATTGATCCAAAAGTTGTCCAAAACAAGGCAAGGCTTTTCCAAGGCAGGCTGGATCCAAATCCTCCCAAAGCTATACTAGGGATTTGGATCCAAAGGGACAAGACTCTCTGTCCTGCAAGAACTGGGACTTTTCTCTCCAAGCATTCCATTTTTATGTGGTATTATTTATTTATTTATCAACAATATTTATACTCCATCCTTTACAAGACATCCCAGGATGGCTTACAACAATAAATCAATCAATCAATCAATCACAACAATAAATAAGTACAACAAAATACAACAGCACATAGCAAACATAACTGAGCATAACTGAGCATAACAATGTTAAAACCTATTAAAATGATTTTAATGTTAAAATAATTAAATATTAAAATGATGGGCAAATAAAAAGGTTTTTGCCTGTTGCCAAAAAGAATATAATGTTGGCTCCAGGCAATCCCCTCTGGGGAGTCAGGGTGCCACCGCAGAGAAGGCCCCTCTCCAGGTATTCACCCTCCTAACCTCCTTCAAGGAGGGTTCCCAGAGCAGGGCCTCTGCCTCAGATCTTAAGAGACCGGACGGTGTATAAGGAAGGAGGCATTCCTTCAGGTATCCTGGTTCCAAGCCATTTAAAGCTTTATAGGTCAACCCCAGCACCTTAAATTGGGCCTGGACTTCCATCGGTAGCCAGTGCCATTGATAGAGGACCAGCATTATATGAGAATAATGACTGGACCCCATCAACAACCTGGCAGCTCTATTTTGAACCAATTGAAGTAGCTGGACCATCTTCAAGGGCAGCCCCACATAGAGCGCATTACAACAATCCAACCGGGAAGTTACTAGACTGTGTGTCACCATTGCCAAGCAGTTAACTGGTATGTCAGTTAGTGTGTTGGAACAGCACTCAGGAGATCTGGGTACTAGTCCCCACTAAGCCTCGAAATCACTATGTCTGGTATGAAAGCTGGACAGTGAAGCTGGTGGGAGGACAATGGATGCATTCAAAACATGGTGCCGGAGGAGAACTTTGCAAATAACCTGGAATGACGGAAAGACAAACAAGTGAGTCCTAGATCAAATCAAGCCAGAAACAAAAATGCTTTGGCCACATCATGAGAAGGCAAAACTCACCAGAGAAGACAGTCATATGAGGGAAATTCAAAAGCAGAAGAAGAAAAGGATGACCCAATATGGAATGGTTTGACTGCATAAAGCCATGAGAGTGAGCAAAGTAGACAGATACTTCTTTTAAAGGCAGAATATGGGGAAATATAGATTTCCCCAGTCCTATGTACAGTCTTACACCTGAGATTTCCCATCGTTCCAAGCATTCTCCAGTCAGCCATGCTGTAGGACCTTGGACCCTGAACTGAAGCTAGTGATGAGGGTATTATCCTGCTAAAATGGAGTACTTTTCTCTTAAATACATTTAATTTCATCCCACTGAAATCCAAATGCTTTAATTTGGCTGGATTATATCCTGTGTTTTATATGTATTTCCCTCTCCCATAGGATGAAATATACTAATTGTACTTGCATCCCAACACCAGCATCTATCTAAAAAGTGATACAGTGAAGGAATATTTTCATGCTGTTCCTATGAAAAATATATCAACTATAAAGTACAGATTCTGCTCTTCAATGGACTACAAAATTCTGCCACCACATACACTTCTCTATTATTTCCAGGTGTGTACCAGCAATTCCACCAGTTCCACAGTGCCCAGTTCAGTCAATGCAACCATCCACCAGACAGCTCTGCTGCCCACCTGCTTTCAGCCCCCAAACCCATCCTGGGAATCCATTGGCATCAAATGGGAATTCACCATTCTCTGGAGAAATATTCCTTTCCTCTTGTACCTAATAGATAATTGCAATGGAAATGGAAGCTCCCACCAGGTGTGGGACAGGGAATCTAACTTGGAGGAAGAGGTGCATGAGAGAAACTGGCAGCAAGCTGATACCTTCAGGAATGGCACAGTGATGATTTTTCGTGTGGGTGTAAAGGATGCCGGGATATGATCCTCAGATACATGAACCTTGCATGCAAAGAACAGCAGAACAGCAAACCTTACAGTGATGAGACCAAGAGGTAGGAGACAGAAGTTAGTGCAAGCAAATGTTCTGGGCCTCACACTTTTGAAGCAGTACTTTCTCTTTGTGCTCTAACTCAGTTGCTAGGGCTGGAATCCTCTGCATGATTTCATCCAGGTAAGACTTTCTCCAGAGCACACTGGCATAGAAACCCCTCTTGTCCGTTCCATTTGCCCATGGCAAGCATCCCTCCTCCAGACTCCTGCTTCCTTCGCTGACTCCAGGCGCCCAGGTCTCGGCAGGGATGCCGTTGCCTTGGTCTGGATGAGACGGGTTTGGCTGGACCAGTTGAACAACATGTCAGGACAGGCATGCTCTCCTTTGGAGTATTGGAAACAGTGAGTTACATAGCCCGGGAGCACACAACATAAGTCGTGTGGGCTGTGAGTAGGGATGTGTGAGGAATCCATTTTGTGGGTGGGAATCCACTGGAGTCCCTGGGTTCGTCTCCCCAGGCTCTGGATCGCTTCCTTACATCTATGAGTCCAGCTCTCCAGTGAGTGCACTGAGCATCCATGCGGGCTCCCACCAGCAAGTGAGCCGAAGGCTGGGTAAGCGGCACCCCTTTTCTGCACATGCAACTTGCAGCCTTTGTTTCTGTTGCATGCACTGCAGGAGAAGGTTTCTGGTTGCACAGCAGGATTTCATGTATTTCTGCTCACCTTACTTCCTCAGTGAGGGCCAAGCAGAAGAAGAAGCCTGAAGGACAGAGCAGGGCCAGATTCTGTGGCAGATCATCACAAGCACAGTTGTGAATCGTAATTCGCTTCAGAGCAGGTTGTCATGCAGTCTGAACCCAGCAGCATGGTTTGTCAACCACATTGAAGCCACCCAGCTGGGCTCATAGAAAACAGAATACTGCTGTTGGAGGGAGCCAGTAAGGCCTTTGGGTTCAACCTTCTGTTCAATCAGGACTCCAAGTTAAAGCAGCCCTAATAGATGGTGGCCCAGCTGCTCCAACCATCAAGAAGTTTTTCCTGATGTCCAGCCCATTATTCTGCTGAAAAGTGCTATCATATCTCCACTCAGTCCTCTCTTCCCTATCCTATAAAGACCTAAGTCTCTCTCATAGGGTTTGTTTCCAGTTCCTTGATCATCTTTGTTGCCCTCCTCTGAGCCTTTCCCAGTTTGTTTGCACCTTTCTTAAACTGTGGTGCTCAGAACTCCAGAGGAGGCCTAAGTGCTGGGTAAAAGAGAGCAAGTTCCTCACATGATTTAGAAGTGACTCTCCTATTCATATAGCCCAAAATAGCACTTCCCTTTTTTGCATCAGCATGTGATATACATGAATTGTGAGTTTCTTGCATGAAGTATCATTGAGTCAGATAGATGCCATCATGTGACTGTGCATTTAGTTTCTTTTTCTAGGTGCTGTGCATTTAGTTTTTTTTTTCTTTTTCCTATTAATTTTCATTCTGTTACTTCCAGACCAAACTACCAAGATCACTTTGATTTTTGCTTCTGTTAGCTCACTATCCAGTTCTGTGTCATCTGCACATTTGATAAGCAATCTGTGAACTTTCTCATCCAAAACATTAATAAAATTGTCGAAGAGCAGTGGCTGCAGGAGTGAACCCTGCAGCACCTCATTTGTTACTCCTCCTGAGTTTGAGAAGGTGCCATTGATAGGACTCTTTGGAACAAATTCTGTAGCCAACTCTGGATCCACCTGATGGTCTTTCCATCTAACTCACTTTTAGCTAGTTTGCTGTCAGGATATCATGGGGCACTTTGTCAGCAGCTTTGCTGAAGTTATATTATGCCCATAGCATTCCCACAGTCCACAAGGTTGGTTACCTGATCAAAAAATGAGATCAGGTTAATCTGGTAGGATCTCTGAAAAACACTACATTGTTTTCAAGGCATTTGTAGACTGACCACTTTTTACTCAACTCCAGGGACTGATCTCTGACCAACCAGGTTCCAGTTTTTTTCCCTCCACCAGTTATCTGGCACTTCTGCTGTCCTCCATGATTTCTCAGAGGTAACAGACAGGGGTCCTGAGAGTTCTTCTGCCAGTCCCTTTACTCCAGGATACAGTTCATCAGGTCCTACAAATCTGAACTTCTTCAAAGAAATGAAGTGTTCCTTGACTGTTTGCTTGTGAGTGTTACGCTGTAATCCTGCCCCTTCACTGTGTACTCCACCTCTGTCGAGGAGGTCATTGAACCCCTTCAGAGAGGCAACTGAGCCTAAGTAGGAATTGGACACTTCTGCCTTCACTTGTCATCTGTTATTGTTATTGTTATTTATTTATTTATTAAGAACTTTTCTATCCCATCCCCTACAAATGTCTCGGGACAGCTTTCACTATCTTCATTAAGCAGTTGACCCTCCCCTTCTTTCCTCTGCGTTTTATGATCAGAGGCCTGTTTTGTTCCTTTTGTTTAACATCTCCCACTAATCTCAGCTCATTCTCAGCTTTAGCCTTCCCGATGTCATCCTTGCAATTCTGTGCTGCCTTCCTGCATGATTCTTTGGTAGCCAGTCTTCATTCCACTTGCTACACACATCCTTTATTGTTTTCAGATAATCTCTAAGCTGTTTGTGAAGCCACATGGGCTTCTTCAATTGTCCTCTACCTTTTTTCCAGACTGCATAACAAGCCATTGTGAAAAAAAAAACACATCTCACAAACCACTGAGGCTTATTATTTTGTGCAATCCCAAGACGCAGCCTTAGCTGGAACAATAAATTTGCCACAACTGTTTTTGTGGGAGTTCATCACTG